ATGATGCTGTGACTGTTGGTGGGTTTATGTGTGATGTGTGTGTCTTCCTTTCATAAAGCCAGTTTGGTCTGAGTGGATGATGGATGGAGTGACTGTTTCAATTCTTAGTGCAAGGGCTTTGCTGATGATTTTTATATCTGTGTTGAGGAGAGACAGGGGGTGATAGTTTGAGGGGGGGGGTGGGGTCTTTGCCTGGTTTTTGTAAGAGAGTGATTGTAGCAGTGTTCATGTCTATGGGAAGTTTAGATTTTTGTTTAATTTCGGCTGTTAATCTGTTAAAAATGGGGGCTAAAACATTCCAAAAGTGTTTATAGAACTCAGCAGGGAAGCCATCAGGTTCCTGGTGATTTGTTGTTGGGCATGAGTTTGGGTGCGTTGTGGTATTCTGTAATTGTAAATGGTTGATCCAGAGTATTAGCTTGGTCTTCTGTGAGCTGAGGCAGAATCTTTTGTAGAAAGGTGTCTGTCTTTTTGGTTTGGTTTCTGTGTTGATGAGTATAAATTGGTATAAAAATCTTGAAAAGTCTCGTTTAGGTGTATGTACGAGCTTCCCTGCTGAGTTCATAATCGTTGTAGTTGTTGTTTTTTCTTTGTTCGCTTTTCTGTTGAATCATTTATTTCTAGGAAGGATGCCCACTCTCTTTTGATAAAATTGTCAAAGCCAGGGTCCTCAAGTAAAGATGCATTAAATCTCCATCTGTTGAATGGTTTATGAGAATGTGCGATATTCCAGGTGATGGAGACAGGAACATGGTCACTGATGGTGATGGGGTGTATGAGTATTTTGAGATTTGGGATATTATTGAGTTGCTGGTTAAAAAGAAGTCAATGCGGGAGTAGGAGTTATGAACTGGTGAAAAGAAAGAAAATTCTCGGGCAGATGGGTGTTTTAGCTGCCAACCATCAGCAAGACCAAAACTGCTCATGAACTGTTCGATTGTTTCTGTGGTGTGGCAGTTCCGTGTGGTGTTTGAATTGTTAGATCTGTCTAGTGATGGGTTCATGACTGCGTTGAAGTCTCCTCCGATTATCATTAGTGAATCTGATAGGTTGGAGAGAGCGGTAAAGAAGGTGTGAAAGAATGATGAGTCAAAAAAATCATTCTTTGGGCCGTAGATGGATGCAATAGTCATGGGCTATTGTGTATTGTGATACTGATAATGATAAATTGTCCTTCAGGATCTGCAATGGTGTTGTTATCCATTCATCCATTTTCATCTGCTTATCAGGGGGCGGATTGTGGGGGCAGCAGGCCGAGCAAAGCACCCCAGGCATCCCTCTCCCCAGCAACACTTTCCAGCTCATCCTGGGGGACCCCAAGGCGTTCCCAGGCCAGACGAGATATGTAATCCCTCCAGCGTGTTCTGGGTCTACCCCAGGGCCTCCTACCAGTCGGACGTGATGTCTGAGCTCCTCACCCTATCTCTAAGGCTGAGCCCAGCCACCCCACTAAGGAAACTCATTTCTGCCGCCTGTATCCACAAACTCTCCCCCAAACTGGAGAGGGCAATACACCAGTTTCCGACAGAGAACCATGGCCTCAGACTTGGAGGTGCTGACTCTCATCCCAACTGCTTCACATCCAGCTGCAAAACGCCCCAGTGCATGCTGGAGGTCATGGTATGATGGAGCCAACAGAACCACATCATCTGCGAAAAGCAGAGATGCAATTCTGAGGTCCCTAAACAGGACCCCTTCCTCCCCCCAGCTGCGCCTCGAGATCCTGTCCATGAAAATCACAAACAGGATTGGTGACAAGGGACAACCTTGGCAGAGGCCAACACCCACAGAGAACGTGTTTGACTTTACACCAAGTATGCGGACAAAGCTCTCACTTTGGTCATACAGGGACCGGATGGCTCGTAGCAGCAAGCCTGGCACCCCGCACTCCTGCAGTACCCCCCACAAGACCCCCCAAGGGGCGCGGTCGTAAGCCTTCTCCAAGTCCACAAAGCGCATGTAGACTGGCTGGGCAAACCCCAACGACCCCTCCAGCAGCCTCGCAAGGGTAAAGAGCTGGTCCACTGTTCCACGTCCAGGACGGAATCCGCATTGCTCCTCCTGAATTTGAGGTTTGACAATCAGCCGGAGTCTCCTTTCCAGTACCCTGGAGTAAACTTTAACCGGGAGGCTGAGCAGTGTGATACCCGGGTAGTTGGAGCACACCCTCCGGTCCCCTTTTTTAAAGGTGGGGACCACCACCCCGGTCTGCCACTCTGCAGGCACCGTACTCAACCTCAATGTGACACTGAAAAGGCGTGTCAGCCAAGACAGCCCAACAGTGTCCAGAGCCTTCAGCATCTCAGGGCGAATCTCATCCACACCTGGCACCTTGCCACTGGTGAGCTTTTTAACTGCCTCAGCAACATCTGCCAGGGATATGGACGAGAGTTTCCCTGAGTCTTCAGGCTCTGCCTTGTTCACGGTGGACGTGATGGCAGGGTTCAGGAGGTCCTCAAAGTGCTCCTTCCACCTCCCAACGATGTCCCCAGTTCGGGTCAACAGTTCTCCCTCTCTGCTGAGCACAGTCTGAGACAAGCCCTGCTTTTCTTTCCTGAGTTGGCAAACGGTCTGCCAGAACTTCCTTGAGGCCAACTGAAAGTCCTTCTCCATAGCCTCCCCGAACTCCTCCCACACTTGGGTTTTTGCTTCAGCGACCACCACAGCTGCAGCCCTTATGGACAACGGGTACCTGTCTGCTGCTTCAGGACACCACTGGGCCAGCCAGACCCGAAAGGCCTCCTTCTTCAGCCTGACGGCCTCCCTCACTGCTGGTGTCCACATGCAGGTTCTTTGGTTGCCACCACAACAGGCACCGACAACCTTCTGACCACAGCTCCTAGCAGTCGCCTCCCCACTGGAGGCTTTGAACATGGATCCCTCAGACTCCATGTCTCCAACCTCCCCTGGGATGCACGAGAAATTCTCCCGGAGGTGGGTGTTGAAGACCCCACGGACAGTGGCCTCAGCCAGACGTTCCCAGTTCACCCTCACTACACATTTGGGTTTACCAGGTCTGTCCGGCAGCCTCCCCTGCCATCTGAGCCAACTCACCACCAGGTGGTGATCAGTTGACAGCTCTGCTCCTCTCTTCACCCGAGTGTCCAAGACACACGGCCGCAGATCTGATGATACGAACACAAGGTCGATAATTGATCTTTGGCCTAGGGTGTTCTGGTACCACGTACACTTATGAACCTCCCTGTGCTCGAACTGATTATGATGATTATGGTGATTATGATCCGTTGAAGTTTTTGTTGCAGTATAGCTTGCCATCAGTGAAGTTAGTCGACTGATATGACTGCTTTTTTTTCTTGCTGAATGTGTTGTTTTTGAAGTGGGAGTAGTATTTTGTGTCTGTCCAGTATCTCTTGAGGGAACTGATCGTGAAGTCCATAGTCCGTGCCTTTAAGTTGCTGATGTTTTTTTTTTTTTTTTTTTTTTTAAGATTATTTTTGGGGGCTTTTTGCCTTTAATTGACAGGAGAGATTGAAATGGGGGAGTGAGAGAGAGTGAGGGGATGACATGAAGCAAATGGTTGCAAGCGACCACTGCAGCGAGGCATCACCTCTGTACATGGGGCGCCGGCACTATCCACTACGCTACCGACGCCCCATTAGTTGCAGATGTTTAAGGTTGTTTCTTCATCCACTCAGAGCTACCTGTGGGAGTGTAACTGAGGCTCATGTGCTGAGCTCTAAAATGACTGTGATTAGGGATGTAAAGATTACCGGTAAAATGATAAACTGCGATAAAATTCCCGATGGTTAGTATTACTCTTTCAAATTTTAATTATCATTAAAACCATGTTTTATTACCGCATTTTGAAAAACTCATGGTGATACTGCTCATTGCGTGACACACTAAACAATGGTCCACACCACTTATCCCCGGTCATCTTTCATGACGTGTGTGATGTCATCGGGTTATTCTTGTCCTATTTTTATTACTTTTACTATCATTTCAGTCACTGTGCCTGTGTTCATGTCCAGCTGAAATGTTGTTGTGGTAACGTAAAAAGTGCCAGCAGATGGCAGGAGCTACATTTAAAGTACCGTACGCAAACATAAAAGTCACCGAATCCTCCACAACAAGTCCATACAAATGTTTCACAATAAAAGCCTATTTAGAAAATGGAGGGATTCTCTCAGCCGATGTTATAAGGGGCTTTTAATTTGAAACAAATTCAGGAAGTGTTGAGTTTGAAATGAAGGTGTGATGCATTATCTTTATGAAGCCAACAGGAGCAGATAAAAAGTAAAAATATAAAAACACAGAGGGATTAATAAATAACTGACTGTTTATAATGTAGTCTGAAGCTGGTAGCCTCTGCAGTTGTGGAGAGTAAAAGCCCCGTCACTATTTTTTAATGTTCTTACTTTATGTCCGTCTCCATTATGAAGAAATAACATTGTTTGCTAGCTTGATGCTAATGGCAGTAGGTACTCAGCGGGTTGACAAAGTGCCTCTGCTGTTTCACACCATCATTTTCCCCTTTTACTCCGTGTGGTAACATCCCTAGAGGAAATATTAAAAAGTTGTTGTCATACAGATGTCTGTGGCAGCAGATCGTTCTGTGTTTCTATTGGTCAAAGTGACGGCTGTGATGGGAGTAATCAGGAACGACAAAAAGAAAATCAAACATGCTAAACTTTCTGTTAGACAGAAAGTACATTGTGCTCTTTATTTTATTTGTTTTTCGAAATAAAACTTGGTTAAATGATTTCAGTGTGTGTGTATAAGTACTTTATGAACATTTGGAGCACATTTCAACAAGACCGCGGTAATAATGATAACCATGATAATTTTGGTCCAATAACCATGATATGAAATTTTCATACCGTTACATCTCTAACTGAGATTTATAGAACACAAATATGCGTACATGCATCGGTATAAATAAATATGGTCTGCATATTTCTGTCTTTGTGTGTAAGTTAAGTTTTATGCATTGACTGCTGTTTCTCTTCATGACATTAATCAGCGACTCTCTCTATCAGGCCACCTTCCACACTCCGTTCAGTCAGCTGGGTCAGAGTGCTGAAGGCTGCTCCTCATACACCTTCCCTAAAATAATGGGCAACGCCAAGGTACACACATACGGACACACAGACACACACACACATACACACACAGAGGGAATATTTTCTGTGCTTGTAAACTGAATATTTGAGGCTAGTTTTCTGATTTCAGAGAGAGCAAAATGTTGCTTCATGTGCTGATGAACTTCCTGTCTGTCAACCTGCACAGTTGTTGATGTGAAAGACAAGAAGGAACCAGATCAACATACTGGTAATAAACTAGTAACCCTCCTTCTCCTCCAGGCCACTGAGATGCTGCTGTTCAATAAGAAGCTGACGGCGGTTCAGGCCTGTGAACTTGGTCTGGTCACTGAGGTTTTCCCCGACAGCAGCTTCCAGTCTGAGGTTTGGACCAGACTGAAGGAATACGCCAAGCTGCCTCGCAATGTAAGCACACACACACTAGGGCTGTAAACTTATGTTCAATTCAGTTCAGAAAACGTTATTTATCCCCGAAGGGCAATTTAGTTTATACAGTCCACCAACCAACTGGTTGGTTGATGTGCTCTTGTCCAACCAAATTCTCATTGGTCAAACATTCGCTGGTGTTCCTTCAATAAGGCTGTGTGTCCACCAAAGCGTTTCTTCTCCAAACTAAAAACGACAGTTGATATTCAGCACTTGTATTTGTCCTCTGTGATGGTTGGTCTTTGTGGTATTTGTTCCATCCCTTCTCTACTGTGATTGAACGGCTGAGGACAGTGAGGAGCTCAGCGTTTTACCCAAAGCGAAACATTTTTTTAACTCTTGTTTTAATTAGAAAACAGAAATAATTTAGTGTCAGATTAGTCTTGCTTGTCACCTTGTTTCTGGAGGCGACAAGTAAGAGACAGGGCGTCGCAGTGTGCGACCCAGCAGCCCAGTCGCTTTGTTGTTTTATCGTCTTTTAAATTGTTTTTAAGTGTATGTTTTTAGTTATTTTTTTAATACATATGTGTGGAAGATTTGTCGGTAGCACTTTATTTTACAGTACGCTAATTAGACGCTAATTAGACGTAATAAGCTGTATTTTGTATCAAATTAGAAAAAACTACACCTAATATAATCTTTATTAGACAGTAAAATAGACAACATTGCTCTAATATGACGTAATAATCCGTAGTTTGTACCAAATTAGGTAGAAATATGTTCGCAATTTAGACATTGAAGAAAAACAATTATGTCCTAATAAGAGCTAACAAGACGTACTTTGCAACAAATTAGAAAAAAACTAACACAATTATATCCTAAATAGGACTAACAAGAAGTACTTTGGAACAAATTAGACAAAAACTAGAGGTAATTATATTTTATTAGATATTAAACAAACACAATTATATCCTAAAAAGAGCAAACAAGAAGTACTTTACAACAAATGAGACAAAAACTAGAGGTAATTATATTTTATTAGATATTAAACAAACACAATTATATCCTAAAAAGAGCAAACAAGACGTACTTTGCAACAAATTAGACAAAAACAAGAGGTAAAATATTTTATTAGACAATAAACAAACACCAACAAATCCCTTGTTGCCTGGATGGCTCATTCTCTGGAGTCCCATTTGTAGGTAGTAATACATAGCGACCCTTATTCAGCCTGAACTAGATCTTATTAGAGGCTAATCAGGTATAAATTACAGCAAAACCATACCCTAAATTAAAGTCTGCACCGTTACGCCTTATTCAACCTAAACTAGATCCTATTAGAGGCTAATCAGGTATAAATTACAGCAAAACCATACCCTAAATTAAAGTCCGTTCCACCTTATTCAACCTGAACTACATCCTATTAGAGGCTAATCAGGTATAAATTACAGCAAAACCGTACCCTAAATTAAAGTCTGCACCGTTCCGCCTTATTCAGCCTGAACTCAATCTTATTAGAGGCTGATCAGATATAAATTCCAGCAAAACCGTACTCTAAATTAAAGTCTGCACCGTTCCGCCTTATTCAGCCTGAACTCGATCTTATTAGAGGCTAATCAGGTATGAGGAATTCCAGCAAAACCGTACTCTAAATTAAAGTCTGCACCGTTCCACCTTATTCAACCTGAACTCGATCTTATTAGAGGCTAATTAGGTATAAATTACAGCAAAACCGTACCCTAAATTAAAGTCTGCACCGTTCCGCCTTATTCAGCCTGAACTAGATCTTATTAGAGGCTAATTAGGTATAAATTACAGCAAAACGGTACTGTACACTGAAGTGTATTATTCAAAGTTTTTAACAAATACAACAACCAATAAAAATTTCTGGGTAAGGGTTACACAGGAAGGTGCAACACCCCTTGACGCAGGGGCTCCAGGGATGAAGAGTTAATGTTGCCCCCCGTCCTCTTCTTGCTGTAGCATGTTTTAGGTGTTCAGCTGCATGTCTTCAGACATTATCTGTTCCCTCTTTAAATGACTTCAGGACAGCGTCTGTAAAAGTTGGAAGACAAAA